ATGACTAAATTGTTTGCATTCAAAAATCGGACAATTGCAAAAGTAGTAGTTAAGTGAAATCTTGGCATATTCATTTGTTAGGAAAGTTAGATGCACAGAATAATGCGCTACTTATAAATAGCTAGTAAAATGACCAAATATGACGAATTAGGATAGTATTTTGGTTCATTCGAAATTAACAAAAAATAGAAACTTCCTGGTATGTCATTCCACTTTATTAATAGTTTCACGTCCAATTGCCGATTGATAAACAGTTTTTCATGGAAACGTATCAATCATTTACACTATAATAAATATTGTTGTTGAAAATTAGATAATTGCAAAAGAAAGGTCGCCACTAAAATATCTTGAGCTATAAACAGCAAGATTCGGAGGAGCCCTATTACCATAATTTTGACAACATACCACTCAATACCCAAGGGAAATTCAAATAGCAGATATTTACAGTTTGGGCTGCGCGATAGACTTGCCTCCACGTAGTGCACCCTGGGCACCGTATACTCATACGGCAAAAAAGTCTATAAACCGGCAGTTGACTTCTGGCCAAAAAAAGCATCCGAAAGATGAGAGAACCTACTCTAACTCAATTTTGTTTCAAACGATGTGATCATCACACGTAAACTGAAAATCCTTTGTAAGTTATTAAGAGAGCATTTTGAAGATTCTAATCCGAAGCACTACCATGGATGTGTACCTATCCAAACCACGACTTATGTGAAACAGTGGCCTCAAGATGCAGCAGAGTATCTCATGCTAATTCTGCGTAGGAAGGAGTTCTAATAATGAAACAAAATTTACCCCACACAATAAAGCATGTATAAAGAATCAATTGCTCGGAACATGACATGAAGACGAATGAAGTTTGGTGATCCAAGGTGAATACATATCAACACTGAAGTTAGCAAAACTGAAAAGACGCCAACACAAATTGATGCTCATATTTAGTCGTGTGCATCGAAATTATTATTACTTATCAACTAATTCAATCGAGGGCACATAAAATGCGGAATTGCTCCAACAAACATCTGGAGGATGGGATCACGCGTAATCTTACTCGATTTTGTTTCAATACAAAGCTACCGCTTGAAGTGAATCCCAATTTACTCACGCAAACAACAACCGACAGCCACGTTATCGCAAACCGATTAAAAAACGTTTTTTCACTCGAAGTATGATCATTATAACTCACAGAGCGAAGTAATACAATACAAACTTAATAGTGCATTAAAAATAAAAACAATAGGACTTGCAAATTAACATTTTATAGAATAAAAATAAAACATGCGACACTGGATAATATTTACAGTTAGTGAAAGACAAATATGCACATGTTGGCAACAGACAACCCATCTACAGTGCAGTTCCACGCTCCAAGTTCTGCTTGATCTCTGCGGTATACTTCCCGTAATGACGATCCAGGAGTTCATTGTACCGTTTGTTACGCTCATTGATGTAATCTATATCAGCATCCGGATCGAACGCACGACGTCGACTGAAAGATGACTTCTTCCTCTCCTCTTCTTTCAGAGTTGCAGCAAGACGCTCAACAGCCTCTCTGCTAGTTTCCGGACCCGATTGAATAGCTTCTACCAAACCAATCGTGTGGGCAGTGGGATAAACAAGGTCACCACTAAAAACACATGCACACTGTTAGGATCATCACGAGACAAAATCGTGTCACAATATAATAACTTACAGCCTCTCCTTCTGCTTCTCATAAGCAACCAAATCTGGCTTCATTGTCTTCGTCTGCTTCAGATACTTCTTATGAGAAGCATCCATGTAAGATGAGAAGCCAGGAACATCCTTCTCATCATCTTCCACAACATGAGGGCGCTTCCGACGTTTCCGTGCTTCCAGGCGATTAACAAGATCTGCCGACACTTTCAGGTTCTTTGCTCGCTCAATGTCGAGGCCCTTCTTACTGCATTCTTCACGAAAAGCGTCCTCCTCTTCCTCCCAACGCATACGTGCCTGCTTCGCTTCCCAATTGTGAGGAAGATGTTTTCGCCTGTCCTCTTCCACAACCTGCTTGTGATTGTCCTTCTTAGCCTCATTCTACAACAGGTTATCATGATAATATAGCAAAGGTAAACTAAAATCAACTATACAAATCAAAAAGCAACTCATGACACGAAGGTGCAGATTTCAAGGCTTACAGATAGCGAGCAAGACATTACGGAAAAAACGTTAGAGATTTAATTAAAAGTGTAAAACTTACTATTTTCAACTGCAATTGTCTCAACTTTTCCATACGCTCTTGACACTTCCTATCCATCGGAGAACACTTAATAACCAAAATAACCGCCATTTATCATGCATTTTAAAACAACAAAGAATTTGTAAAGCGCTTAAATAATTGTATTTTCATGGTGTAAACTGAACAAATTTACTTATTGACTACAAAACAAATTATGCTGTTTCTTTTCTGATTTTTGCTATTCGTTTAATATTTCATTTTTCTGCGTTTTTTTCCACATGATTTTTATTTCGTCTATTTTATATTCCAAGTAAATAATTATACTTTATCTTTGATTCTGTCAAATTTTGTTCCTTAACCAACTAATCATTTGTGAGTTTCCGGACGATAATTGCAGATGCTCTGCCAAGTCATTTAAATGGATTGTGGAATATTTCAATCCACTAAACGTA